CAATAAAGCCTTTAGTCCCAAACAAGTTGGGGTAGGCTACAGCTGAAACCCATAAAATCTCAAAACCAACTCATGGTTCTGGCATGTGGATAGCTATCTTCCACGCACCCCTGTCCATGGCTAGTTCTTTGGTGATATTCCAGTCCTTCAGATCTCTCTTAACGGACCCCTCCCATGTCAAGTTTGGTCTACCCCGACCTCTCTTGACATTTTCAGCATGATTTAACCATCCGCTATGCCCTGGAGTTTCTAGATATGCTCAAATTAATAAAAAAAAATAGTGTCAGGGCCTTCCCTACAGTTTCCCAGTCAAAAATGTGCAGTGGAAAATGGCATCTAAGTTGAGGCTGCCAAATGGGAACTGGGAGCACTTGTCAAGTTCCAACATTTGTGAACTATGTAGAAATTTAAAATATATAGATGGAATAATCATCATTTCATCGATGTCTTCCAAAATCAATCACTTGCTCACTCAAACATATAGCCATGCAAATAGAAACTCCAGTGAAAGAGCATAATGCAAAATTGCAATATACATGAGAGTGACACAACATACTTGCTTAACTGAACATACCTCAAACATGAATCAAACTTAGCACCAAAATCAACTTTGGTCATAAAAAGTTCTTCAAATCCACCATCTCTGCATTTATCAAGGCAATTAAGTGTGCAAGCTGCCTCATCTTGGAGCTGAATAAGAAACGATTCGGTGTAAGATGGAGACTATAATAGACAAAGAAAATTGCAAGCTTAACAATTGGGGTGAGTAATATTCTGAACACATGGAGCAAGGAAAACTAAACTTCTATCATGGTGGTCATATCACACCATAGTTATGTAGATGCATGCATATACATGAGATGTGGAATTGGTGTTCATAGGGTACTTTCATAGTCAAACCTACCTCTGAAAAGGCTGACTTCGTCATCCGAAATGCCAGATTGACATGGCCAGATACATCACATATGGCAACATCAAATGTTTTCAGCAGATGAGCAATGCCCTGAAAAATTCATGGATCAGAAGATCATAATAACTGAATATTCAATATTACCCCACAAATTATTAGCACTGCATGCAAAAATTCAATCCAGAATTATCCGTCATGCACCAAGATCTATACTACGAGCGGAGGGATTACCAGCCTACTAGTTATTATTGAATTACAGGCAGAGGTGCGCCTGACCACCAATTTCATTGTTAGTATAACCAGCTAGGCATACCTAAGCTTGGGGTGCCAATTTTTGACCATGTTCACACTAAGGCAAATAACTTATCTGGAGAAATTATGATTCTATAAGGAATATTGCTCCTGTTATTCTAGGGGAGCTGGCCTAGCCAATAATACAATTATTTGAGGATTAAGCTATATATAAGACCTCTTTGCTGATAGTACGCTTCTTCATTGGCTGAATCACCAAGCCCTTCGACCACATCTTCGAAGTTGCTACAAGCAAACAGAGATTGATATAGTAAACAATTAAACATAAATGAAATATCAACTTTCTGTTGCTTGGATGTACCAAAAAAATTGATTGCAACACGGAAAATTTGTCTTGTGGTCATTGATCTATTAATTATACTTCCTCCAGAGTCCATGGTAAGAAACACAAGGATGGCAGATATTAAGTATCCATTGAGGCAATCATGTGAATATATTGAAGTTCTTTGACGTGCCCAAACCTGCATTTCAAACTAAATATTAGATTGCCATTCAGGAGAAAACCAATAAGTAGACTTCTGCTGCACTGTCAATATAGAAGTATTTCCTCATCAGACAGTTGTTGAAGGGGTTACTAGAAACCCCAGACATGCAGACATTTGATCCATATTTTTTATAAGAAATATGAAACTGAGGAAGAACTCCTTACTTTTAGTAAAACCAAAGCCTCTTGCAAGGTTTTCCAATTTGCAAAGGTGCTGCCGGTATATTCTGCATTTTCCTCCAGAAACATATCCTCCAATATGCTGTTATTATACCTAGGTGTCGGTTGGTTTATGCCATCTGTGATGCAAATCTGATCAGTTGTTTATAACAAATATTCCTATATTCAAGGCCAAAAATATGGGTTCAGGTGATTCTAAAGCAGGCAGATTACCTTTTGTATATGCACGGACATTGTTTCTTGTTGACAGATTTAGCTTTGAAAGATCAAATAAAGAGCTTGCCGTCGGGATTATCCTGACATAGAACCCAGGAAGTTCTGCAATTTCTGTTGCTGGGCGAATGGAAGTATTGAAAAATAAGAAGAGAACGCAAGGACCACACATTTAAGTGCATGAGTATTAACCTTGAATGCACACTGAAGTAAAAAAAAATGAAGCGCGGTAATTTGTTTGAACAACAACCTGGATATACATGGAGGACAGGCTTTCGTGCCTCATCTTGGAAGGTAGACCATGAAACCTTACGGATTAAAGGAGAAGACCTCAAGCTCTTCTCGATGACGCAGAGGTAAAGACACCTCTTTGCATGGTACCGGTGATTCAAGAAATCCTTTTCATGAAAGCATTCCTATAAAAGCAGCAAAAAGAAATCATTAAACCCATACAGCATAATCACAGATAATGGTAGGCCAAAACCTCGATAGAAGCTTAAACAGTATGAATATAACTGTATTTGGAAGGGTGGCGATCACATGCCAATTTGTGCAACATCCAAAATGATACCAAGAACTGGAGTAATATTTGAAGTAGGTAACACCTGGTTCCATTAGATTGACTAAAGGGCCTCGCTCCATGTAGAGTAGACACGTTTGTACTTATAATTTTGTGAACCAACAAGAATTTTTGGACATCATAGCATAGTTGAGAATCCTCTGTGGAAGTTTTCTAAACTAATAATAAATTTACTAAAGCAAAGTGAAACACATACCTTAGGCAAGCGGACGAGAAGGTCAGCGGCGACGTCGGGTCTGGTGACCGCGCCGGCCGCGTGGCTCCCGGCGAGCCGCACCACCTCCGGCGGCCGGAAGGAAAACGCTAGCTTCTCGGCCGCGAGGCCCAGGTCTATCACGAACCCCGAGGCAGCCTCCGGCGCAGCCTGCTGCAGCGGCACGCTCTTGATGAGCTCCCCGACGGCGTCCGTGGCCTCCCCGGCGGCGCGGAGAGAGGTAGCGCTCGGCCGCGCTTGCTTGAGAAGCTCAGAGAGCTTGAGGTCGATGGAGTACTCGGCGGAGACCATTGCGGCTTCGGTGGCCGGTTGCCGGCGGCGGGAAGGCAAAGAAAGGGCTTTTGGGGGTTTAGGGTTTAGTTGAACCTCACCATCATTTTCCTCCTAGTAGTTGTACACTGCGAAGAGCCCATGAGCTAGCCCGTGAACTAGCCTGTAAATCGGAACATACCGGCCCGTTACAAATGTTGCGCACGCACCCGCCCAATTAGGAGCAGAATTGCCCTTAAAAAAAATGGAACAGAATGGCCCTATCCTAAAAAAAACTAGAAGAACGCCCGTGCGTTGCAACGGGGCCACATTAAATTTAAGAGTTCAATACTAATATTCTCATATATATCAAGTGACATTGACGACCTTTTTTACCATCAAATCCTCACACACACCCTCTCTGCCTCCCTTTTCCTCACACTCTCTCCCCCCCTCTCTCTCTAGCGCACACACACACACATATCCATATTATTGGGTACGGGACCATAATCAATCTATTTCACACACACGCTAGTGCATAACAATATGAATTATGTGTATTATATTTGCCACCACAACTGAGGGAATTAATTTTATGTAAATCGGCTAGCCACATCTCCAAGAATATGCGGAGGATGTGGCCCGCTTCCAAGTGCGTCTGCGCGCCGGCCACCCACGTCGGGTCCTTCAAGTGTCGCTTCCACCGCACCAACTCCCAGGGCCAGGGAAGCCGCCCTTCTTCGCCCCCTTCACCGGCCGCGGCCAACGCGGTGCCGTGGCACCCGGCCTCACCGTTCTCGTCCTCCGGCACCGTCACGACCCAGTGACGTAGCCCAAGCATGGGCCTCGAGAATCAAGAACGCTCGACAACGGAGAGGGAAGGGAAGATCATATACATGTCATAAGAAAGGGAGTTTATTTACCGCTCCCTCGATGTATTGTTTCCTTTGTTTGGAGATTGATTACCATCCATGAGTTAAGGTAAGATTAATGTGATTGAGCGATTTTGTCTGAAAATCAATTATTTGTTTTCTAATTAATGTGATTGAGTGATTTAAGGTAAGGTTAATTAATTTAGATTTGACCTTTAGAGATTGTTCGTGATTGATTCTACATTACTAAATAACTTGCGCCAGTATGGAAAGTTCTGATCTGTTCAGATTTCTTTCGTTGTGTGAGAGGGTGACGCGAAAATAAACCGATGAAGTGGGGGGAGGGGACGAAAAAATCTACGAAAAAACCCAGCGAAGGTGGGAGGAGGTACCAAAAAAAACCATGGGAGGTGGGACGAAAAAAAACCTCCCATACTTCATGCAGGAAGAGCACACATTCATAAGCTAACGGTTTCACAATGTGTTCTTGCTGATAGTAATTGAACCAAATGAAACGATGGACAAGCAGATTGATTAAGGAACTCTAGGTAATACTTCATGACGTAAGCATTGGCTCAAAAAGTTAATTTGTAAGTAAAAAAAAGGCCTAGAAGAATAGTTCTACCTAAATAAAGTTTACTGCTGCACATGAGCAGATCCACACGAAGCAGAGGGGAGGTGGAGCAGGCCGGTAACCAGGGGAAGGAGCAGAGTGGGAGAAGATTTACACCGCCGTCTCCACTGGATATGGTGTCTCCGCCGCATCTGTGGAGGCGCCGCGGCTCCGCCTCGGATGGTGCTCGTGGCTATGGTGAAGAGGAGGGGCGACGCATGGGCGAAGAGGCAGGCGGTACTCGTGGCCAAAATAGTGGGTCGTTCGAGCTGCGGGAGGGAGGAGGGGATCGCCGGGAGGCGGCGTGATCGGTGGGCGGCGGCGGCGGCGTCCAGGTAGGGAAGTCGAGGCAGGGCGCTGTGTTTTTTAGGGGAATTGCTTGTGAAAATAACGTGCCACAACGATGTAGCGAGCGGATCCCCTTAAAAAAGACGTAGCGAGTGGATTCCCTTAAAACTGGTAGGAATGGACACGATTGATGATGTTGATAAATATGGTGAATGTTGGCCTAATTTACTATCATCATGCATGGAAACGAATCATCAAGAAAAAGAATACTTCCTATTACTACGCTCATAGGAAGCTTCCTAATCTCTGCTACCAAACAGTTTCTGCCCAAACAAGGAAGGAAAGTTATGGACCTGATTCGGAAGGAAACAAACGTTATGAAGATTAATTAATTTAGATTTGATCTTTAGAGATTGATTGTGATTGATTCTTTTACATAAAGATATTACTAAATAATTTGTGTCGGTATGGAAAGTTCTGATCCGTTCAGTTTTTTTCAATGTGTGAGAGGGTGAAGCGAAAATAAACCGATGAAGTGAGGGGAGGGGACGAAAAAAAATCTACGAAAAAACCCAGCGAAGGTGGGAGGAGGTACCAAAAAAAATCATGGTAGGTGGGACGAAGAAAACCTGGAAGCGAGACTACCAACTGCTCCATTAGGAGTAGAGATTAGGAGCAGAATTTTCATATATATATATATATATATATATATATATATATACTAGTAGACCGCCCGTGCGTTGCTACGGGCTACAATACAGTGCATATAAATAAATTAAACAAATGACTAAAATTGTCTTCAAGGTCGAAGCTCATTTCTCTCTTATATATTTGGGCATATTTGGACATTTCTTCCTTATATATTTGGGCATGTTTGAACATCAAACAAACGGCCGGTAGGCTCTCCAAAATTCAGCTGTGTGGACAGTCGCTGCAACATAGCTAACACTTGATTTGTAATCAACCACTCTTTTTCCATAACATCTTTTCTTCCTGTCATTGTAGCCCAATTGTTGAGCTCCCTCCATAGTCACACATTTCCTCATACCGCCAACCCGTCAACCACGTTGGGGGACACCCGAAGACAACCGTCCTTATCGTCGCCCTCTCATTGGAAGGGACAAAGAGCGAGGCATAAACATACACATACGTAAGTTAATTCATTATTTCATTAATTAATTACTTAATATGATGTCTTGTATCCTCTACATGGACAAAAAATACAACAAAAATATTATCTTCATTCTACATAATGAAATTGAAAACTTGTGAACAAAATCACAAACCATCATTTCACTTCTGATCCACCACAAAATAATATTTGGAATAATTTTCTTAAATGAAAAATATTCATTTTCTCTCTAAAACCCTAAGCCAAATCTGTTTGCTCCAAAGCAACCCTAATTTTTATGCCTCAGAAAATTCTAAGATAATTAACAAATATTCTAGGGACCCTAGGGCACCTCCCTGAGCAAAAATATTTCATCACTTTTTGGAATATTTTTGCTACAAAAAATCTTTTCTGTTCTGGACAGAAATGGTGGTTTCTACAGCAACTACCATTTTACTTGCTCCATTTGACCTGATCTTTCTTGTGCTTATTTACCTTAGTAACTCCAAGCTAGCCTCCAAAGCACAACTTCAAACTCCCAGCCATTTGACCACAGTAACATCACAAAGTTACTGTCCAGAAACTTACCAGACTTGTAAAACTTTCTCTACTGCACCTGGATCCAAACCAAACCGTGGTAAACTTCAAAACCACCGCGAACAACATGCCAGACATGAATTTTGGACGAAGGCTGGCCTGTGGAGAGAGTTCGCGCGGTGACCACGCATGTCCACGATGCCAGGCATGCGTGTCGACGCGCTCTGGGAGCCGCCGAGCACTCTGTTCGCGCATGCTCGCTTCCCCCGACTGCCAAACCTAGCCAAAACTCGCCACCATCATCGTCTCGATACCATTAACTCCACCATGGCACTCGCCGACGCCGGAGCTCGCCGCAGCGAGCACGGGCAAGGTCTGGCCAGCCCAACAGTGCGGGCGCACTGTGCTCGTTGTCACCCCCTTGATCCTGTGCTCGTCTCCGCTCGCCCACAGTGGCCGCGTGACCTCCGTCGCCTTCTCCCCCTCTCACTAACATCGCTCGTCGCCGGGCGCCGTGGACAGGTGTCCACCGGCGGAGCCCAAAGCACCCTCGCCGCTCGCCTATATATAGAGCCCCTCCCCAACCTCCTCGAGCATCCTCCAGCACTCACACACACTCCACGGTCGAGTAGGAAGCCGTAGCCCGGCCGGGCAGGCCTCGAGCCACCGTCCCCGAGCTCGAGCTCGCCGGCGATGCCCTCTAGTCGCCGCGGTAGCTCCAGCCCCTCCCAGGCCTGGGCGACCCCTCCAGGGCCTCCGCCCCTCTCCGGGAGGCCGTCTCGCCCGCTTGGAGCCCCCGGAGCGGCCTCTGCTTGCCGTCTTCTTCAACTCCGGCGACCTCCTCGTTCTGCCTCCGCTCGCGAGCTCGATTCCGACGCCGTCTGACCACCCCTAGCCACGCTACGGGTACGGGCAGGTGCGCCTCGACCTCCTCTTGCCATCCCTCCCTCTCGTTTTGGCCAAAGGGCCCTCGTCACCGGTGAGAGCTCCGGCGAAGTCGCGACCATCTCTGTTTCCCTCTCCCTCTTCCCCCACCTGACTAGCGGGGCCCGCTAGTCAGTCACTCAGTATGCGCACGAAGCGGTACGAGTGGTTGCACCCCTGGGCTTTACGCCTTCGACGTCACCCCCCAATCTTTTTCTTTTATTCTAACTCATTTGAATTTACAGAACACTTCAAACAGTTATAACTTTTTAACCATAAGTCATTGTGTTCCTTGAAAGGAAATCTAACAGCTCACCAAAGATGAGATTTTTCTGAGTTGTTTAGAATTTCTGGTGAATTTCAGAAGTGTTCTTGATATTTTCTTTTTGTGTTTAAAATTATTTTCAGAAGGTGAGGCTTGTCTTGAGGATCACCAGGAGGCTTGTGAACCTCATCTGCACTAAGGCAAGCCACGGCAACATTTTTATGATGCCATTGCAATATTTGTGATTTTCCCACTTGAATGAAATGATTAATCCATGCATTTAAAGAATTATTGAGTTATTTGTATTCTGTTAAATGTTGAATAGTTGTTATGCTTGATTTACAGAATAGTTGAAACTAGTTCAGTGAATAAAGCAAGTTAAGATTTATTTGAGGTGATGTTAGAAATAATTTTGTTATGCATGGTAGTTATTTTAGCTATACTTTTGCCTTCCTAAAATTGGTAAAAATTTGTTAGAAAATATTCTGTTAAATCATATTACTTGTTTTACAGAAAGTTTGAACTTAATTTAGTGATAAAGAAAGTAAGGATTGTTGATAGAAAAATCTTTTGCTATGCATATGAAAAAGTTATCGGGATTGCTTTCTTGCGTAAGAAATTAATGAAACTTGTTACAAAAATATTTTTTGGTTAAGTTATGAGTCATTTGAGCTAGTAAAGTAACGTGAGTTGTTGACGGTCATGCTTGGTGTATAGATGACGTCGGTCAATTTTATGATGCATGTGTTGTTTTGCATTTCATGGCATGCTATGACACCGGTCATTGTTAGTTTAAAGTTGAAACTGAAAATAACTCAACTTGAATACACCGTTGACTGGGTCATGGTGCCGCTGAATGGAGTTCTTTCCAGTGCAACCACATTTGCCTTTATGGGGGGCCTTGATTCGGTCCATTAACACGGCCTTTGGTCGGTGCCTCCATCTAGGGAAGGTTATGTCATGTTTGCCCTGGCCCGGCAAGCAGGCATAATCTTGTGTGCTCGTTAATGAGATTATGGTACCGATTTCCCCAAGTGGGAGTTTCCCCAAGTGGGAGTTTCCCCGAGTGGGATTTTGGCCACGGCGGTTGTTGGGGTGTCTTTGGTAGACACGGGGCCACCCAGGACCAGCCCGTTGGGGATTTGGGTCGGAGTGGCCGGGAGAGTGCTGTGACAATGGAGGAGTTTCGTCGGAATGTCGTTGGTCCACCCGAATGG